CTGCGTGGCAGACCAGTATGGTGATCGTTCGGCCACAGAGGCAGTTATCTCATATAATCAATGAAAATCAATTAGGAGTAAAGAAAAGAAGAAGAGAGATAGATGTCTGTTGCTTGCTTTATACCAGACACTCAACGCCACAAGTACATTCAATTTTATTAACATAAATCCCATGTCTAAGACCGAAGTACGTAAACGGCCAAGAGTCGACAATTTTATTTATTTTCCTAGCCCAGACGCTCCTCCAATCGCTTCCATTAATATTAATAAAGGAATCATGTAGAAATCTGCAGGCTGCGCTATCGGAAACCGATTTGCATGCTTAAACGCCTGGACTTAAGCTTCTGTCTCGTAAAGATTGGGTTTTGCTCATTTTAGGTTTGATTTAGATTACGCTATTCTCTTTCAGACCCATAACTACCGAAACGGAACGGAGTAGAATTGTTCTTACTACAGGTTTGCTCGATGTACTAGTAAAGAAGTAAAGATTTTGCTTTTCAAGACATATTATCAGCCGTTTTACGTGACCAGTCTGTGGATCTCATACAACAGGTGTGCCTACAGTGTTCTATGCGTATAGTGTGATAACATGTTTGCCGAAGCCCGCATTGATTCGCGATTAAGCGTAAAAAGGCGATCTCCCTGAGATGCAGATTGCGCTGCAGCACCAACGACGTCCTGAAGATGATGCGGATACGGGTGAGGGTCACATCCATAAATATTGGATGGAACTACTAAGGGGTACACATACATATCCGGAGCTAACAGGTTTCGGAATGCTTATATAGTGCCCTTCTTTTTGATTTTAATGCATAAATAATTACTTACTAACCTAATTTTAAGACAAATTGTTACTAATTAACTACTAATATTACTATGGATGATTTCTGAATTACACAATATTTTATATTAAAATTTTTATTAAATTGATATTTAATATTTTTTATGTGACATTACTCCACTAGTTTGTTATAATTATTAATACAAAGATCGAACTTTCAGAAAAAATTCCTACGTTCCGGCCGGTTTGGAACCGACGTCTTCAAGCATACCAGCGGACCTCACGAATGTTTCTATGTGTTTGTTGTAGTGCTTTGTATTTGGTTTTACAGCGACTTTTTAGCCGTAGCGCCATTATGAGAAATCTTAAGTATTTCGTCGTTAAATACCTTTACAGCTACCAGCCCTGGCTAGAGATGTCGCTATTCATTGTATTTCTAGTTTGTCATAATTAAAATAAAAATAAATAAATAAAAAGACTTTATTCTTCAACAGAAAACACAACAACATTTAAGATAAAATAATGCTTAAATCTATGTCGAAGAAAAGGAAAAAGCCTCAGCAATTTGCTGGTTTTCAGGCTTCACCTGGCAAGTATTCGCCGCTGGAGACACCGTAGCTTATAGAGACGGGTATCTTTTCGAATACATATATATATATAAATAGGAGGGTATCTTACTCACTATATACGTTTACTACATAAATAACAAACCTTAAAACTTAAAACTTAAAATGACATACGTACCGACCACCGAACATACTGCACTTAGCAGCAAAGAGTATTTCACTGTGTACATAGAATACAACAAGCAGAGAATGGAATTTGTAAAAAATATAGAGTTATAATATTTTATATTAAAATTTTTTATGTGACATTACTCCACTAGTTTGTTATAATTATTAACACAAACATCGAACACTCAGAAAAAATTCCTTCGATCTGGCTGGATTCGAACCGACGTCTTCTAGCATACCGTGCCAGACGCTAAACCAACTAAGCTAATAATATTTATATATTTATGTAATTTTTATTTTATTACCAATCTTTGCTATTAGAGTAATAAGATTTATCTACCTAATATCGTGCAAATAGCACCCACTAGGTTTTAAGGTCCACTGAAAACCAATGTAACAGCTTAATCTCTGCTGCGACATTATTGGTCCTGTTAGTATAATCCAGCTAGTGTTGCCCAAAATCATCTTGCCCTTGCAGTCTTGCAAGACCAAATCTCCCTAATTGTAGCAAGACCGAAACCGACCTTGCAATATTGGAGCAAGAACAAAACTAAGGGTCGTATTCTAGAACTCTATTCAATAATCAAGTCAGGATTGCACGGGCAACACAAGCACTGGAAATACGACCCTAATGGCAGGGACTTGAGTATGATATCAAGTGCTTTAAACCATACTCAAATCCTAACTTGATCATTGAGTAGAGTTCTAGAATACGACTCTAAGTCTGCAAAACTCTTGCATGTTGCAGTTTTTTTTTAGATTTTATTTATAATTATATACAGGCAATGGCAAATCAACTGATCGAAAAATTTATTCAATTGATATTGAATTCTATAAGGACTTACGTCATATAAATTACAATGTGGGCTGTCATTAGTGTTGTCGTGCAGATGTTAACGCTGTCTTGTTCTAAGCTATGTTATATATTATTTAAACTATAATCGAAAAATATGTTTTCGATTATAGTTTTAAAGAATCGTTATTAATTGTAATTATTTTTACGATATAATGGCCCAAGGCACATTTACCAGCGAACCCCGTACTAGCTCTAGGGCAGGGCTCGGCAACCTTTTGAGTTGGAAGAGCCCAAATTACAATTCACAAAATTTGACAGTTTTTAAAGACCAGTAAAAAATTTTTTGCAATATTATAGTACTTGCTTATATAAAGGTATTTTTGATTTTGATTTAAAATAAAAAAACTTGAAAATTAGAAATAATGTCTATTTATTCATACATAGTTTTTTTTGCACAGCAAATGACAGTATTTAAGTACAACATTAAAATAATTAAATACTCAATGTAACTACAGAATTGAGTAGTAAATCAATGGGAGCATTAACTTTGCATGGCTTTTGAAAGATTGGACAAATTTGGCTCAAACTAGTTCTTTTAAGTTTCAAACATGACTCTAGATTTTCATTTGTTAGTTGGCTTCTGACAAGCCTACTAAGCTTGACTCGCGAGACCCAAATTCGAACCTACACCTTCAAAACCACATAATTGATTTGATTTCTTTGGAAATGAAACTATTTTTCCGGATTTAAATCGCGTATATTTGGTTTTTCAAACAAACCATAATTTCGGGTCCTTTACAGGTCCTATGGTCACGGTTGATTTCTTTGATTTGTTGCTTTTGTTTTTTTTAATGATAAAACAGTTTATATCACAGACTAGTTTCATATCATATAAAAAATAACAGGACGAATAAATGTATGTTTGAAAAAAAAAAACAAAACCAAAACCCAACAACTCGATATTCAAACACCTCTATGAACAATAAATAATATAGCTTAAGAAGGAAAATATAATAGTTAGTTTTACAAGCTTCAATACGTAATAAGTATCAAAATGTGTTATTTTTAATTACGTCCTTATCCTCAAAGAGTACAAAATCCCGCCTTACTTATAATTTCCTCCTCTTACTTATTTCTTTCTACTTCCTATAAATACAAAAAACATTGATGCGGTATGAACAGTAAGCTCCTTTATCAAAAATCCATCCCCTCACGAAACAATCTCGCAAAGGCTTTTGAAAACAATTTAGGCGCAACTAAAGACGCATTAGGGTGCAACAGTCCAATTATACGTCCTACCCGAGATCAGGGAATTGGATAGACAGATAAGTGCTTTTACTTTGAATGTAAGTACTTACATACCAACAAATTTGGTGTTTGGGAAATTATCTTCTCCATTTTTATATTCCATGAGTACTCTAAAATCCTATATAGGGTACTTGAATAACGAAGCTAAAAAGCACTAAGAGACAGAGATCATTATGGGGTTATTAAAGAGCCCTGGACAACTTGATGTAGAAATAAACCCAAACAAATCATATAAATGGTTTATATTTAATTGTTTACGTTTAGCATGCTGGACTGCCACACAGAGGTACTGGGTTCGTTTCCCAGGCCTGGAAAAATATTTGTACCTTTGGCCTGCATTTATGTCTCTCCTGAGTTTGGGTGTAATTTGTGGTTGTCTAAGTGTGTGTCCATGGCACCCGAGATACAGGGTCTCCCTAGTGTGAGACTATGAGTGTGTGCGATAATATTATTATTATTATTATTAAAATTGCGCTTTAAACTTTTCCTTGACTATATTATTTGTAGAAGTGTCATTATTGCATAATTATTCTCACGCAATAGCTGTGAGAGAGAAATGGCGCTATTCAAATGATTGGACGACCCTACGATTTGCAAATCTTATTAGTACTTATTTTATTTATCTAATTGTAATTTATCTTTCCGTGCTTATAGTTATTTTTCTCATTTTATATTTTATTGTTATGTTATTACTTTATTGTCATAATTATGTTACATAATATTTGAAACTACAATTTTAGCTTTATGCAACTGGAATAACGTCGATTTGAATACCTACCTGATATTTACAGGCAATTAATATCAATCAATTTAAACGCAACTGGTGCCGAAAACTGCCATTTTTTTGGTTTGTCGGTTAATGGATATTCCTTCGCTATTATAGTCATGTTAGATGTTATAAAACTACAAAACAGCGGAACAGCAGGTTATCCGACAACAGTCGACAATAACAGCTATTGAAAATTCGCCACTGGTTGGTGGACATTTGTAAAGAAAATCCTAGTAATACCTACGAACTCTGTAAGAAAAACAAAACTAGTATCAAACGTTACTGGTATCTTGTTCTGCTCTATTATTCGTAACTTGAGAAACAATTATAAAGTTTTAGAATTTTGACGAAGGCGAGGGTCTGTCTAAAGCCCTTATTAGATTTGTTGGAACGAAGAAAGAACTCGAAAACCGACCCGTATTGAAAACGAAACGAAAGAATTGCGCACTATATTTGTGTTCAAAAGTCAACAAAAGTTTCTTTGTTGAATAAATTTCGAAGCAAATTCTCAGAAATTGATACTTTGAACCAAAAAGGTTTGTCCTAAAAGTTATTGGTCGGTCATATAAAACTTTACCATTAAAACATTTTATTAAGATCAGCGCCACCTACCTTGTCTCCGTCAAACTTCTCGCTTGGTTCGTCGTAAAAGCGCGCATCGCGTTTGTCTCTGGAACCACGCCGAGCAAGCAAGGGAGTTGGCGGTGGTGACGCTAGCGCCAAGCTGTTTCGGGCGCTCCCTGGCGGTGATTTTATGAACTCAATCTTCCCTCCTTCCACACAAATGTTCGGCGTCAAAGGATATATTGGAGACATGGCGACATTCGCATTCGCTAAATGGTTGTAATGGTTCTCTTCTAACGGCAAACTGTTTGGTTTATTTTTCTTTCTATACGTAGAATCGTATGCGAGAACTTGGGTTTTTTCTTCTGGATGCACTTGCCGTGCTTTCCCGGGTGGCCGGTCAGGTGGTTCCGGCGAAATACTGCCATCTGTCTCCGGACTCTCGTTTCTTTCATTGTTTGATACCCTGTAACAAAAGATAATAGTTGTAAGTAGTAATAAATAACGTGTTTTTATGAAATACTTACGTAGAATTATTTATTATTACATTGTCTACTCTAAATAACGTGGTGTCATCACATCAACGTTAACAATAGTTCATGACCGAATAAGTTCGTCGTATATACAATAGATGGCGCTACCTTCTTTGCCTCAAGCAATTATTTACTCTTTATTTCAGATTTGACTAATTTCTGCAAACATTTTTAAAACAAAACCTTATCGATTTATATTGTAACATAGATTCCTAGCATATTAAAGTATAACATGTCACATATTAACAAACTATTCTAAGAAAATTTTTCAAAATCCTAAAACGCGCAAGCAAAGTTTTCCTCATCGGAAGGTATATATACCCCGAAATGCACTTACTCAGTGGAAGTGTATTCTTTAGTGTGATGTCACTCAATACTGTATCTAGATCGCTAGCACTAGTTAGAGGGTCTACAGAGGGTGTCGTCACGCGCTCGTTGTTGGCTACGCTCCTTGTAACGTGCGCTGCAAACGATCGCCCGCGCGGCTGCGACGGATTAGCGGCGCACATTCCTCGGGCGGCCTTGAACCTTTCGCGGTTTTAGTTAACTCGATAGCTTAGCTCCGGTTAAATCTTCAGCACTTCTATATCAAGGCGGCGAGAACACTCGAATGCCAGATTTTTGGACTACTCTTAAGTAAATTAACCTAGCATTATTATAGGCTTGTCTTTTTTGAAGACTGAGTAAAATGGCATTTGCAGGGTTGCCAATTTTCGTAAAATTTTAATAGTCACGTAGCTGTTGTCGATAGATTGTGAAAGAATGCCAATAATGTCTGTGAATGTTACGTTTTAATGATTACTAATTACATTACTGCCTTCATTCGTATTTTGACAGGTTGCCTACTAGTATCAAAATACGTTTTTATTCATACCCATTGTAACAAGAACAATACGGATTTGATTATTTAATAATAATAATAATAATAATAATAATAATAACGCTCACACTCAACATAGCCCCGCACTAGGGAACCCTGTGTCGCGGGTGCCATGGACACACACATAGACAACCACAAATTACACCCAAACTCACGAGAGAAATAAATGTAAGCCATACAAACATTTCTCCCGGCCCGGGAATCGAACCTGGGACCTCTGCGTGGCAGTCCGGCATTGTAACCGTTCGGCCACGGAGGCAGTTAGTTATCTATATTGAATTAAAAGGAAAAACTTAAAAATATGTCTCCTCTTTGTATTTTTAATGGACAGTTTTAAATGCATGTACCTATGTATGAACTTGAACAAATTGACAATTCAAATGGTAGGTTCATTGGTTGCAGTTGGACGAATAATAGACTATTTATTGCATGCGTAATCATAAAAGTCGGTAGACTGCAATCACTAGCTGCTTGTAAGCGGACAACACTTTTGCGCATTGAACAGTCATTTTACTTCATCTTCAAAAAAGACAGACTATAGTAGAGTTTTAATGTTTGTTGGAGTTAACAAGCATCTAACCTTAACACACAGTTTCTAGTGTAACCCTGACACAATATTTAACAGGCCTTATCAATGCATTACCAAAGAATAGCATAACAAAAATCTTATCATTGAGCCTTGTAAAAACAAGACTCAAGTTACCCACCCTAAAACAAAACAGTAGCTATCTTAAAACCAGTCTTATCACTTCAGTGGAGACAGTTTATTGTTGACAAAACGTATTAAAGTGTTACGACTGTACCTACCTGGTAGCGAGATGGTGTAATGTTAAGGGTAGGAATCTATGAAAAGGAAGAGACGTTTGAAAAATTGCGATAGTGTTTTATTCAAGACAATATTCACACACGACAACTTTTGAAAGAACAAAAAGAAAGAAAACTGTTCATTGCGTAAACACAGACACGCATAAAAACAGAAAAACAGAAAAACAATAATAAAATTAAAAAAGAAAGTATTAAAATAATTTACCGTCATTCGTGTCGCGGTACAATCGGGACTCAGCACAGCTCTAGCCACAATCGGTTTTTTTTAAACCGTGTCGTGGCGCTGATTTTCAGCAAGTCCGGGAGAGAGGTTTAAACGTAATTAGTTGATTTCGTTTTAGCATTTTTATGTGTGAAACAGTTTTGACGTATGATCACGACGTGGTTCTATTATACTAACGAGGGTAAGAATTGCTCACATGATTTTAGCCCAATCTAATTAACTTAGGTGACAGAAGATATTTTTATGCGCAGGCAACACCGCGAACGGAGCTAAACTCACTTACTACATATTTTCTTAGCTTAGCTAGCATAGTAGGTTGCATGCAACTACCTTTTTTGCCAACTATTTTTTTGAAAGCCTCATGGACGCTTCTCTGCTGCGGGGGCCACAGAGAGGTTATATAGGATGTCTACCGCCGTGCTACCCCATTTTTGGGGAAATGCTTTATGCATACCCTCGAGCCTGGGGATGTCCGAGGGGATGACTGACCCACTAGTGGAGGGCATACCCACTAAAACCCCCCCAGGGCGCACCCTCTTGGCCGGATGTTGTGGGCGCCGTGGGATCACGTAGATACACCACTACGACACCCCCGGCCACCTTGACTTCTGTCAAGGTTCCCACGCTAGAGAGGGGAGGGTCGGACGCTTGACGCATCCCCCAGACGGGTGAGACCGTGCAATGCGGGCAAGGGATAACTAGTGCCACCCCTACCGTAGCATGCAACTACCTGACCTAAGTTAACTTAGCTTAGCTCAGTAGTGACTAGGGTTGTTGCTGATCCAGGTTTTCTACACACCAGCGGATGCTCATGCTGATTTTTTTATCTAAATAATGTTAAGAAATATTCAGATCGTTGTTGAATCTACTTGAAAAAGCTTTCTATTTTCTTTAGTATTGAAATAAAAGATTGAAATTAATGATTGGTGACATTTATTAATAAAAGATTCAGTCTCAGGGTCGTATTCTAGAACTCTATTCAATGCTCAAGTGAGGATTGCAATGGCTACACAAGCACTGGAAATACGACCCTAATGGCAGGGACTTGAGTATGATTTCGAGTGCTTTAAACCATACTCAAATCCTGCCTTGAGCATTGAGTAGAGTTCTAGAATACGACCCTTAGTAAAACCAATTAATGTGCCTAGCTTAGTCATATTGGAATTTTATTAAAGGTAGGTTATATTTTAAAAATAATAACTGAGCTGCTTGTTTAGCGTGCAATCTGTTTCTGGGAGAAATTATTCTAGCATAAAATAAGAACAGGAAATTTTGATACATATCCGATGTTGTTTAATAATTATAGGGATTCAGTTCAAAACTAAAAAAGCATGTTCTCTGTAGTATTTAAAGATCAATATTTTCATATAAAATTTATTATGTGTAAAGTTAAGTATTTTTTAATTCATTTTCGACTTTAGGATGTTTCAGGATTTTATATGGTCGCAAAAAGTACATCCTATCGTTTAAAAAATTAGCACATTCTTTAGACAAAATCCTTTGCTGTATCGTATAATCTCTGTAAGGCCTTTATTTAATAGTAAATACCTAAACCATTTAATCTAGCAAAACAGTTATTCCCGCTTGTCCTCCGGCGACTCGTCTTAACAAAGTTAGTTAAGCCCCATTGCCCTTTATGATATTCGTTTGAGCATCCCTTTTAGGCCTATGTGTCATAAAGTTTTCAAATTACTGCGGTTTAAGATTAGTATGGCAGCCATCTTGATTATTTTTCTTTAGAGATTTTGAACCTTACAAAAAGTGTGGACCTTTAAAATCTATACTACACACCATCTTGTACATGTAAGCTGTACCTTTGTGTGTTTATTCACCAGATTGATAACATTCTAGTGCCTTCACCTTAAGAGGACGAACATAAACAAAAAAGACATTAAAGTTTATTTTATGGATAATTTATTAAAGCACTGTAAACAGGAGTTATAGGGTTTACAGTCCTTCAGAGAACAACACAAAACTGCGATGCGACGTCGTGAAATGTACGAGCTCGCACGACGTATCGCAAGAATTTGCGAATTAATATTCTTTGTGTTGCGATATTAATATTCTTTGTTTTTTTTCCTATGCTTTCTTATCAATAACAGCAGTGCAACACTCTTTTTACGATCTATGTCGCTACCTAGCTTAAAAATAACGTTCAGCCCGGTTTGCCATGGTCGAAGGAATGGTTACGGGACCCCGTGGCATTGAGATGCCGTGCCTCACGAAATCGCATCGCAGCAATTCGCGTCACAGTTTTCTGCCTTGGGAATTCGCATCGCGTGGATTCGCAGTTTTGTGTTTGGACCCTAAGTTGATACTGAGTTTAGTTACGGAATTGAAAAAAAATGTCACGGTAATCATTATTTGACTTTTCATAATAGTACTTATAACTTTTAAAATAAAATCGAGCTCAAGAATTTGTAGAATTACATCTATTTGTCAAGTTTTATTGGAATCGGTTAGCGGAAAGCGCACGAAAACGTCATACCCTAGTTTGCGACCCTTAGAGGTGGAATATTTTCTTCTATTGAATGGGACCAATACTGAGGTACCCTCTTTCCAACAAAAAAAGAATCATCAAAATCGGTTCATAAATATGAACCGATTTTGATGTAGCTGCAGTAATTAATGGCGTAACATACACACACACCAAAAATACAATCGAATTTAGAACCTCCTCCTCCTCCTCCAAGAATTTGTCCGCAAACTTTTGTGCTAAATGTCCGCTACAATAATTTCAATTTTAAAATAATCTGTTGTGTAATTAATGTAATTATTTATTTGTATCTTAAGTACGAATGTTTTTTAATTATGTTTTTTTTTGCACTTTGTTTTTCTTATTTTTTTCTGTGTTGTTTAGTTCTTTTTAACCAACGTCAAAAAAAATGAGGACGTTATAAGTTCGGCTGTATGTATGTTTTATGTGTTTCCGATTTTTCCGTCAATTCTGGAACGATTTTGAAATTTCATTTTTGTTTCAAAGAAAAAAGGAAATTTCAAAATTT